ACCAACAGCAGAACGTCGGGAAATAACAGCTGGTTTATTGTGATCTAGTTCTTGTGACTTATCTGACAACAAAACGGTACTAATCACACGATTGTCGAAACATGTGACCTGATTTCCATTGAAAAAGAAATCTATTGGATGTTAGACTTTGAATAGGCTTTAGCGTTGGAATAGTTGTCATGAAATAATACGTAAAAACACTAAAGAGTAATGCATTCGTATTGCAAAGTAAGGTTCCATCAGCCACACATTGATAAAGTCACTTCTTTTAAGGTGCCATAAGCTACCTAAAATTGACCTAGACATCCTATAGTTTAAAGTTTCATGACCCATTTCTAATGTTATTAAATCATTCCATCCGTTAAGTTTCCACAATCCACATTATAAATAATAAACACATTGCTTAGTTTAAAGTGACATCAGCTTCCTAAGATATGATTAATTTATTCTATAGTTTAAGGTTCCACGAGTGTATTGAATTTCATATAGACAATCAATAGTTTAAAGTTCCTTGCGCCGCGTAATATTATTTATAACTAGAAGAGTATAAGCCACCTTAACAATGCAGAGTTATAATCTGAGTTTCCACAAGCATTCATCATAAAATATTTTGTAAATTACTGTCAATCTCTAGAATTATAAAATCGTTTTAGATTTATAAAAGACCACCTATAAATCTTTCTATTATTTATAAACTGACGGTAAACATATTTTAATACTTTTGCAACAAGTAACTATCACAATTGATAACTCCTCCTCGATGTAGTATTGTCTATATCTTAATGAATACCAAGTTTGTCACCATTCATGTTTACTTCCGATCTATGAATTTATATGTCCAAGAAATGGTGAGTAGCACAATATTGACATGTCTCATGGTGCTAGTTGATTTTCCTGAACAAGATTTATTTAACGATATAAAATGCCAACGAAAATGCCTATTTTTGTAAAAATGCGAAAAATTGAGCTTAAGGAAAATATGTGAGTTTATTATTATCAAAAGTGAAATAATGTAATTTGTAGTATGAATTAGAAACACGAGTTCAATAGTAAAACCTAGTCAATATGCATCAGGTCGTACCAAACCGCGACACCAAGAACTGTGAAGAAACCAAAGCACATGATAGACACGTAAAAATCCACTAGAACGTGACACCATGTGTGATGTAGAAAATCCGAACAGACGCAATGTCGGATACCAAATACATAACATAAAGCATGGTATTTATGGTGGAATTAAAAAAGTGTTTGGCATGGTGCTATAGAAAAGTGATTAGAACACTTCGCAAGGATGTATATAGGTTCATATCAATTTCCGTGTAATATGTCTTGCAAGACAACGTTGAATAGTATCTAATGATGCGTTTGTGTGATGAGATCGGCCAATGTTGTCCTCCAGCAAACTGTCTTCATATCTAGGAGGCATGCCACTGACTGTAACTATAAACGTTTGTAAGGAAAATTGATGTACTATCAGCATTGGCTTTTCATTAACAGCCAATATAAGACCTTGTCGAACCCACTCAGCGTGCTGATCGCGTTTTAGTTTTGGCCACCTCTGGCGGTTATTGTATTAGGCTGTTTGTTTCATTTCCAGAAACGGACAATAAATAAGATACAATTATTGGATAAAATTGGCAACATTTTTAATTAAATATACCGTATCAGACAATCATCTACATACAGCATTCAAGTGGTTCAGATTCAGGAGTAACGCGGTCAATATTGTTTTGTATCTGCTAGTAAGGAGAGTAAATGCCGAAACCGACGCGGCACCTGAACCACATATATAATCTTTTTTCTTGATGCAAATGATATTCTTTACACACGCTGTAAATTATCGGTTTGCCTTATTTCAGTAGTTCACAAAGACGTATACAATAAATATATACAAGATTGTGTACAAGATATCTACCTCCGAGAAGGATGTAACAGGGAGTATCATTTGACGATCTTTATTAGCGACTGTGGCCAATCTGGTTTATTTTCTTTAATCAATAAACCCATTCATGTTCACATAGAACGGATACAAGCATACACAATCACACACATCTTTCATATATTCAAAAAGATGAAATCAACACAGTAGTTTTCAGGTCTATCGGTCATCTTCAGGTAATTGTGTTAATGAGTTGGTAACGAAATTATGACGTAATTGATACTACCGTAAAAAGAATATTATATTTGATATATTATCTTTTTTTAATCAAAAATTTTAACCTATATGTCAGACATCATAAAACAATGATAAATATATGTTTGTATGAACTGAAGCAAATGACCTTTGTGTTGTTTAATTGAGTGTCACAATACTAACAAAACCATTTTTTTCAAATGTATCAAAATGCAATAGTGTATATTCGCGATGTTATTACCAGTTAGCTATATTTTAGCATATATTCACTTATACCACGACTAACGCATCTGGTTTTTTTTTTTTTTTTTTGGTTTTTTTGTTTTTTGTAAATTGTTTTATTTTCAAAGTATCATCACGATACCCCTCCTACAAAGTCCATTTCATCGGGTTCAAAGACTGATATTTGGTCGATCGGTGGAGCTTAACATCATATACCGGTCACGACCGAAACACTTTAAAACATTTTCTATCTACATTTTATGTAATAGCATATATCTGCGTAATGACACAATTTATAATCAAGTATCAAGACGCATCTCGCAAAATACATACACAGATGATATCAATATCCGATTTCAGTGATCAATGGTATAATCTGGCAATATTTGTTTTGATCAAACTCAACTCACCATCAGTAATTTAACAGTATTCAATATAAATGTAAAGGTTACGTAACATTTGCTGAGCATTATCGTTTTAAAAGTATAATACTACTTCAATACTATACAATTTGCGGTAAATAAAATGGATACAAATGGAAGAGAAGACGATGTGGTTTGGAATTTGATAGCGTATATTTTGACCACTGACCATTCTATAATGTCCATACGTGGTCAAATATTGTGATGCAATCAAGATTTACGCAGATCTGATGTTGTATGGTCGCTGCGGTTGTTAGCATAAAGGTTTGGATTATTAGGTAAATCATTATTAACTGTTTTGTTAAATGGTAAATGGTTAACACACAATAGTTCAGAACTTAATTCTTGATAGCATTCTACATCGCAATGATTGAAGCAACCTTCCTAAACAATTACGACAATAATGACTTTGCTTTACATTTCAGCATTAGCATAACGCCATCAAAGGTTACGTCCATAAATTCCATGTAATAATGTGCCTTAATTGTCTATCACAGAGTTTTCAATTAACGCTATGACTATTTTTTCTATGAAATGATACACCTTTACATTGTCATTTTCTTGACTATGTATCCCATTACTAATGTCTCTATCTTCGTCTATGACTTTATGCCCTGTTTACTCTTAAAAGTTGAGAATGTTTACAGCGCTATTTGCAGTAATAAGGGACGGTCGGTGTTAGCTACTGAATTGTATATAACAGTGTGCCACATGAACACGTGATACACGCCGACTTCACGTGCCATCTTACTGGTGATGGTGAAACATTTAAGTGTCCCTCTAATTAGTATATATGCCCACTGTACACTATCTTATTCATAAGAATAAAGCAATTTTCACTGTCATTGTCATTGTTTCAAATGACGAAAAAGGGTAAGTATGGATCGCTTCTTTCAAATAACTTAAACAAGTGGCCTTGATTCGTTCTTTACATGTTTATACTCACATCTGTGTTTTATCGGAGAAGTCGATTAAATCTATTAGACAAACACAATGACAATTTAAACAATTCATTTTACCTACTTCTGAACACTAAGAGAAACAAGACCTTTCGATAGACGGTTTATGTTTTGCAGACACACGAATGGAACTGGCATGAATATGTCTAATAGATTATGTTTTACTGGATATTTATGTAAACCTGTTAAAACAAAATGCATTGTAACTGAGACAGAGTAGATACTTGAACATGGATAAGCATGGAAAGTGTTCACTGTATTTATCAGTTAACACTGAAAGGTATGTTTGTAAAGACAAATTTACAAACCTGATAAACCCATGAAATAAGAATCGATATCAAGCCGTATTCTCTTTCATGTACATGTGTCAATTTCAATTTCGTTATTGATTCATCAAAATACAGATATTCCCTCTGTGTAATTCAATGATGTTTATTAAGATGCTTGGGTGATTTTATTTTCTTAAAGTGTAAAACGTACCATATTAAAGTTTGTAAAGGGTGTCGGAACTGATAGTTTGTAACTCTAAGACTTCTGTAATCATTTCAGGACCGTAACCTTCGTAGTTTTCGATTTTCGACAATTGCGTGTTTCGGAGCAATAACTTTTAAACGCCAAAGAAAACAAAATGATAAAAAGTTCAACTTCATCAGAGTGCCTGGATAGTCATATCCCTGTCTAGCGCCGCTGGTCCGTAGGCCAAATTTGAATTAAAACGGAGCTATAATGTTATTTCCAGAAGATGTTATGCAAATTACATGCCAATGCCGTAAAGAGAACGTCTAGGGTCTGACGTACTGACAAGTAAGGAGGAGATATATGTACAAGGCTGACCGGGCCTTACATATACTATGGTGGGGCAGCAGTTTATCTTAACGACTAACAACAATTATCACACAACGAGAAATTCGTTTGCTTATGCGGCAGTATTGTGCCCCATGACACATCCTTTTTCTTCGTCCTATTTGTTGTCTCTACCTAAACACGTGTACGTTTTAATCGATTAGATCATCGTATAAATTCAAAAATGTGTACCTGACTGCAATACGTAATATTCAATATTACAAACAAATTGAATTGAAGATGGAGTTAGAAACATATTGCTGAAAAGACTGAATACAAAAGCTGGCATTTAGATGCTTGTTAAACACTGCTTGGAATCCCTTGTTAGGTTGTAACCTGCAACTCGTTCTACACTCTTGCTGAAATCTGAAGTCTTGGACGTGCAAATATACATAATGAGTTTGTCTTCTTTCATTCTAGCATCGAATGAAAGGTCTAACACCAAGGACGATGTGAGGAAGGAGAACGAACTTCTGTGGACGGAGCTAGATTCTCTTCAAAGGGAGCACAAGAAACTTAAACAAGTGGTTGAACAGCTGTCGCGTGACTATGAGGAAAGCAAATACTTTGACCCTTTGCGTCGTTATGAAAAACTAAAAGGAATGATAAAACGGACGATTTTGCACCTTCGTTTAAACCAGGATGACAAGGGATCAAGCTGTGGCATCAGTGGATTGATACAGAGTTGTCGGGACTATGCTCATCAAGTCGAGGCGGGAAAAAGGCGCGAACAACACCAGTCGGCAAGTAAGAAAACTTTCCCTCTTAGTTAATCTTAGTCATTTGATAATTATAAGTACAATTGACATTATGATGAAAAATGCTTTCTTTGATAAGGATCCAGGTTGATGAAAACCATTGGTTAATTGTACGATCATCATAATGATCTCATTGAGAAATATTCTTTCCTCCTTGTGCGATATGAAGCTTGGCGTGTTTGATGCTCAATAGTTTGCCTATTGGTTCCGTTATCGAATACCTTGTTCTAATTTGCGGATGTGACATTACCTACTTGGATTGTCCAAGGTTTACATGGCGCGTGTCCCCGATAAGGCAGAAGAGACGCACTCCCTAGTTTAATTGAATTCGAGTTTGGATTTTGATTATGTTGACATGTTGGTATCTTCAGTAGTAAAATTTGTGATGTAAGTGTTTTGTACAGAACACAATTTGCTCGATTTGAGTGCCATTGGAAACCATTTTTTATAGTCCGGTTTTTCTATGTATATTTTTTCTCTAAAGGTTAAAGGAGCTATATATCACATAGTAGTTTAAATGCTCTTGGAATCCGGAACAATTATAACTAATTACCGGTGTCAATGGATTTTTGTCACTTTGACAACAGATCAGCGTGATCTCGTGCTATCAGGACTATCATTATATACAATGTATAGATGTCATTCACGTTTAGACCAGTCAATGATTTAAGATGATTGATTTCGTCTCTAATGAAATAACGTGTAATCAGCCTAGCAGCATACCATTGTAGGCTTTATCTCAGATCCTCGATCAGAATCTACATTGCATCGTAGTCGACCACAAGGTGCTTGCCATCCATTGTGTATTGATTTCCTTTCCATTTTTCTCATAAAACATTGTTTTTAGTTTTACATGATATTACATGGGCATGAAATGTTACCCATTTTCCCTCAAACTGGACTCTGACATGTTATCAAAGTGGCAAACGGCAATACAAAATCGATACTCCCGCACATCTTATTATGGCTAGTGGTACGATATTTTACATTTGTGAAATATATCATAGATATACAAAGTATTTGTAACGCTCTATTAGATCAATGTTAATTTGATTTTTTTAAATAACAGCAGACTATTACTTCTAAAACAAATCACAAAACAACAATGACGAACTAACATTAGAAATATGTTACGATATATGTACCTATATGTTTACTATTTGATCGTGACCTGTAAATAGGAATTAATATGTTTCCGTTACAACTCTGGCTCACATTGTTCTTTGATCAAATTTTATTGTTTTGATATATTCCAAATCGTAGCCACCATTCATGTCATAATAAATGTAGGGTTCGTGTGTTTGCCAATCCTAAATGTATTCTCAAGAAAGAATAAATGGACCATTCGACACAATATCCAGAATCATGTCTGTACTTGTATCATCCACACCATAAATATTGTACTAAATAATCTACACTAATGTCTTTGATGTATGTGTCGTAGCCATGAAAATAAATTATATAAACAGTGTTCAACACCCGTACTTAACAGCACCCCATAGCTACACATATTAAGTGATGTGCTGTCGAAACATTTTGAAATACTTGAATAAGGTTTATAGCCGAATGAACGTTGGTGATAAGTCTAGAAGAGCCCCCACATTTGATTGAAAACGTTGCTGATTGGCACGACGGTTCTTGGCCTTCACCGACTACTAATTTAAAGAAATTTGGTTTTAGTCCAACCGGGACTCCTGTTAGTGGTTCTACATTGATATACAGATGTTGTATTTAAAAAAACGATATAACAATGACAACATTTCTGATACAACTCTTGGAAAGAGGATGAACTTGGCTATCTTTCCCAAGGAATCTGTATATGACTTTTACATGTAAAAGTTAATATCCAGTGCTTTTATACCGCCGTAACGCTTCTGCTAATCAACCGTCTTCACTTTAATATAGTATATATATCCTTGATCACTTATCAAAAAAAAAAAAAAAAAACGAAAAAAACAGGTGAAATATAACCAACACTCTTTCTTAATGGTTTTTACAAGATTGTACAAGAGACACGCAAGTGAAAAGCACCTTTGATTTAATTTTATAAAAGATAAAGCAGAACCAAATAATAAAGTTAACTGCGCCATACTACTGTTTCGTCCTACTAGGACTCGTCACTGATGCTTAAGGCTAAGAGTTTTCAAACTTGGAGGCAACTGAGGAAAATCAAAAGAGATCAAAAGAAAAAATATTAAAATTTACATGTTCTCGATCAAAGCTTCAGAAAGATTGAAAGAACATGGAACTTACAATAGCTGCATACGAAAACCACTTCTTCTGGCACTGTCATCGTTCTACTCAAGTTAATATACTGAAGACAATATTTGTCAATTAACTCAGCTTGTAATCACACACACAAACATTATAATCGGAAGGGTAATACAAACTTCAATCCGTCAATTCGTATCCCATATAAATACAGTGGTGGAATAGACGTTGCTCCATCCTTATTTTTCAACAGAATCAAAATAAGATTTAATATTTGAATCTATAATCTTTCCATCAATCGCTTTCCGCTATATGTTAGCCATCGCGACTGCCATAATATCCGGCGCCGTTTCAATAACGCTGCCATTGACATCCAGCTAAAATGACACAAACATCCGAAGGGGGATTTGTCATTGCTGTCAGAATACTGTCGCCTAGCAATAAAGTGAATTCTTTAACAGTTTACTGCTAGAGATTGATTGTTTCGCGAAGACCTGTAAGTGGACGACGAGGCATTTCCAAAGGAGACTGCATTATTTCATGATAATAAGAACGTAAATCTGTGTGTCGTAACGGAATTACTACAAATTGCGATTATCACAAATATAATTATCATAACTGTGCTTTAAATGCGTCCTGGAGGCGCAACACGTACATACAACGAATACGTTCAATCAGTGATGAAATATGGTTATAACAGTTGTTCTACCGAACTGCATTTGAAATTCTCTTTCACAGTAAAATGTGCGTGCAAAGTTTCCGTGATAGGAAAGCGAGCGCGAAATGTAATGATGAAATGCTAATTTAAGTTACATGAACAAACAAGTTCTGATTGTAAAGGAAACCGTTACATAAGTCTCCCATACTACCCCTGCTAACAGGTTAGCCTACCTACACTAGATATCTCACCTCTGATGTACTTACTCTAGACCAGAAAGCAGTTATTCATGATTCAGGTAGAAAGTGGCCAGTCAGTAGACTCTAGCAGAGGACACTGGAAATGAGTGGACCTGTTTATTGTTCGATGAAAAACTGGTTGAACCGTTATGTTCCTTATATTTGACCAAACCCATATGTAAATTTTCATCAAATTGGACAAGATTTAAATTCAACTTTCTGTGGCGGTCATTTTGATTCTTAAACAATTCTTGACATGGACATCAATATTCACAGCAAGTTTCATTTCAATCTGATCAACATTTTTCGAATTATAGCCTGTTATATTTGGAGTAATCAGAGACTCTGATGTCCGATCGAATTTTCAAAAATTCCGCAAAGCCAACTACGCTCATGCAATGTTTCGCTTGAATCGGATCTACGTTTTTCGAGAAATGTGTCGGACAAAACACGAAGGAAGAATAAAAAAGAATTGAAAAATATATATTTTTTAATGCTAAGTTTTATGTGAATGAATTTAGCTGTCAACTACACAGCAACTGGCCCGGGTACATATCCTCTAATTTAGATGATCTGACCTCACGAGAACATTATAAAATGTTTACCTGCGAAGTATTTGCTATCAAATTTCAACGATCTAGGTTCTTCAAGGTCGCCATCTGTTTTTCAATGTAACATCATACACTAAATCATTTAAGCGTTTGAAAGAGTTAGTATAGCAAAGCTTTTAAACGACTCGGAAGTTACTCCAGAAATTTATCGGCTACTTTTTCCTTAAGTAGCAATGTGCTACCGGATTCTTTATAGGTTAGCTGCTGTGAAGCAAACTATATAGTGTTCAACAAGGAACTTCGTTATGGCTGAGGGTTCGAAGTTCAATTACCAAACTTTTTATTTGATCATTATTTTTTTAATGTTTAATTTTCGTTTCTCAGCACACTTTTTTATCACCACGACAGCGTATCACGTGTAATCCGACACCTTCGCCAATATTAGAATACTTAAAAAATACAATTTCTTAAAAATGGTCCAATCTTAAATATACTAATATTTAAATACTTATCAACGGTTAGCTTGTTATAATAATAAGTAAATTAAGAAACGGAGTAAAACAATTAGTCCCCCAAACGATAAATATGCTGGCTTACTAAAAGAAAATAACTTTCTAGTTGAGTGAAAATTTGAGTGGGATTCTAAATTAATTTTCGTTAGAAAAAACAAATTTCTTCCAGGCCATCAATATTCATGTTCAAATAAGACAGCGATAATCCGAAGTGGCAAAACATAAAAATTGAGAGGGGGTGTCATATCACTTTCAAGGGAGTGTGATGTCACTTAGAGAGGTGTGATATCACCTTGGCTGATATCAACTTGTGAAAATTTTCGACTATTCACACAAACAAACACAGTGTTATCAGTGGTAAACATAGGATAAAATCATTTATCATTTATATAAACAGTTTGTCAGTATATATATACTAATGTACGATATCGACCTACGTGGTGTTTTAAGACGATGACACAGATACAAATAATAAGATGGCCATCAAAGGGATTCCATTATGTTAAGAACATAAAAAACACAAGTTTTGAATGGTTTACATCGCCTTTCCCAGAAAACGTACTTAAGTATCATGGTCAATTACTCTGCTGTAAAGACCTATAAGAGGTAAGAGTACAAATACAGAAACTACAGTGAAATGGGTTTACTCATTGTTCACATGTTAACAAGACCTTATGTTACACAACCATTTTTTGAATAATGCATTTAAAAGGCCAGCGTAATTTAACCATTTATACTTCTAGCTGGTTTAAGTGGTGCAAACACGCAAAATAGCAACAGGTTTTTATTTCCCTATACGCCGATTTGGATGCGGAGATTCTTGGACAAAGAGGAGAACATGTAATAATTATGAACCATATGATGTCAGATGTTATCATTGAATGAGTGCCTCGTTATAAAAAAAATAGATGTGTGGGAATAAATATCCCCTTTGGCAGTCTATGACAACTATGTGCTTGTAATGGGCTTTTTCATAGGTGTTTCAGACTATACAAATATAGAAAGATATATGTGGATGAACGATTAAATAAATTACAATGTGTATGATGTAGGCTGTATGAGAATCCATTGTGAGGACATATTTTGAATTCTTCCTCCCACATGTCTTTGTCAGGAAAACGTTTGCTGAAATTCAGAAAGATTGAGAATAATTTAAACAATAAACGGAAACACCAAATGATATCACTATGTGATCTATTGTAAAGAATATAAATGGAACTTGAAGATTAACCTGCAGATATTCGGTAGAAGAGCCTTAAATGAAATCGGCGATCTTCCCGAGGACTCTACATCAAAAACTGTGAAATAAATGTTTTAATTGGAGTAATGAAAATGAAATTACATTGCAGTGGACAAGGTTCTGTACTTTTAGCCATTCATATTGTGTAAAACCATCTTCAACCATTATTCAACATCCCAAATTAAAGTTCAATACCGCCATCCCTTAAATAGTACGAAAGCTTAAACTGAATTTAGACGGCATAATGGAATAACAATATCACAATCTCATTCCAATATATATATATATATATATATATATGTATGTATGTATATGTACAGTATATCATATTGGTAAATCCGTAGACTGAACATTGCTGAAACTGAAATGCTGCAGTGATCTATATTTGTCAATTCTCGTTAAAGTTGAGAAACACAACCGAGTCAGTTTGAAATTGACTTGATATTTGAGTTTTTGTTGATATAGCTAAATTTGGTAAGGTACTGTTATTTATAATCAGGGTGAGGTAATGACAAAGGAACAGCAGTTTTATTTAGTAAAATACTTTAGCAGTGGATCTCCTTAGCAATCCTGTCATTTTAACAGGTATATTTTGAGAGATAATTCATCACGCTAGTTCTCGTCTCACTCGTGATTAGGATATACTCAATTTGAATTACAAAATAATATACGTTATTGCTGTTAACCGTCGAATAGTCTTATGAAATAAGACTTAAATAAATTAAAATTGATTCCAGTAAACTCCTCCTCCACTTCTTAACCCTGAATTCTCAACAAACTTTTGCCATATACGTAGAAATAACCTAGAACTGACTGTATTCACAAGACTTTCAATACCGGCACCACTTGGCTACACTATATATGTTAAGCCACTACGGGTTATGTCGTTGCTGTTGACAACAGATCACATTTACCCACGATGACTAAGACGTAAAGCGTAATGTGTCTGCTTTGTAAGAGGATCAAAAACAGAGAATAAAATGTCATGTTATATCAGGTAGTTAAAATGTGGGAAACGATCTTGTAAAAAGAAATGTGCATCGGAATCACAAAACCACTACCACTTAATACAGACTCCTCATATCTATCAAGTTATTCTCCTTTTATTGTTATCGACAATCTCTATTTTCAGATATGTCGAAGCAGGATATTGCACAAGAAAACGAAACTCTCCGGAATCAAGTTAAGGACATGCGCAGAGAATGCTCGGTGATACGAGACATAATCAACCAGCTCGACCAGAACTACGAGTCATCAAAACACTTCTCTCTGATCCAACGGTACAGGGTAATGAAGCTTATGGTTAAAAATGTGATTCACGACCGTCTAGTGCAATAGCTGTGACGATGAGAATCAAAGATCTCCCGAACTGAATGTGAAATAGAGCTCCAAGCATCGTTGTGGATAGCACAGTAGTAATTTTAGTAGTGATATCCGGGCGAGTAGTCGCCGAACAACATATTATAGCCTTTCGTCTTTATATAAATGTAACGAAATCCATGCGGTAAATAGTATAGCCTATTATAGCCATCTCAAGGACAATTATCATCAAACTAAATCACAGCTGATATCTTTTTGTTTTAGAAATGAAGATATGGTATCCACTGATAGCTCGTTATTGATCTGTTGTGTATGTAAGCCGGAAACAGGACATTTAAAATAAAGTTGCATTTATGATGTTGTAATTTTTGTACATTGGTATGTGAATATATCATCGTATCATCGAATATAAAAATTGTGTGTAAGAGATAAGTTACTCATTGCATACTGTACTTGGCAAAAGCTAAGTGTACACAGCACCTTCACATCAAGTGTCTACAACACGTGTAATGCGTGATATATAATTAGGCAATCAGCCATTTTGTGTATGCAACACGTCATAGATGTCATATAGGTTTTACACCTGTGTTTATGAAAAATGTAATATACAAATTAAATTTAATGACTGCTCTGCCCCTAAATGGTGCAGGCTGACCCCGATAGCAGGCAGACAGATAACAAGGCTCCACGTTACACGTAAGAACTACTCTTCTGTCAGACTGTTCTTGCTCAACGTCTACTTATTGCTATAGTCCAATTGGGCACAAAGTAACTGACTATTAAGCTACATAACATGATGCTTGTCTGCTGACGTTATTACGTTTCCTGTATACAAAAGGAAACCTTACCTATTAATTATGCAATCTGACTTATCATGCTTCAGCATTACCATGATTTAGATAGCCTATTTATGATAAGGATACGTACCTCCCCCGTTTATACTGGATTCCTAAACTTCACAAGACTCTATATAAACAATACTTTATAGCTGGCTCGTCTAACAAACATTTATCAAAGCTACTAACCACCATTGCAAGTACTATGAAATCTGTGTTAACGTCTTATTGTGGTACTGTGTACCCAAGAAGCGGAATTAATAGTACTGTATATGGATTTTAAAGAACTCCAAAGAGCTTTTGACTATTCAACAAACGATTCTAAAACACATTTCTTTTATCAAAACATTCACTTTTTCATTTCTGTAAACCACCACACTCCATTCTAAACTGAAAGAACACTTTCGTTCTCTTGTACTGATATTTCTTTCCGAGAAAGGTGAACAGCGGTACAAATATATGGTTGTGAACTATACTGAAGCGTATGACGTGAAAAATAAATCAAAGAAAAAATATAAAAGATGATACCTTAGATATGATCGAGTTTCTGGTTGACACCATATTCGTTGAGTTTTGTGGTAAGATCTTCCAACAGTCTATTGACATACCTATTGGAACTAGTTGTGCCCCTCTGTTGGCTTCTTGGTTTTGTTTTCATACGAAAAGCTTATCAAAAGGCCTGCACTTTTAGATACATTGATGACACTTTGCTTCTAAATAACAAGAAATATATTGAAAACGTCCATCGTATTTGCCCACGAAAATTGAAAATCAAGTACACTATAGACTCTTCTATATCACGTGTTTATCTCGATCTTATCTTCAACGAAAACAACATGATTTTATTTTCTCTATTATATTTTTTTCAATTTTTGGATATCAATAAACATGCGTCCTCAACCTATGTTGCAGTCAATTCGATAATCAGAGACTTGTTCCCATTATCACGATTTTCCTGCATGGAACTGGTTGTTTGGGGGTCGTCGATGAAGTAGAAGACGCTTACACTTCCGGATCACCTGGTCTTATCCATTTGGCTTTTTCTTTTTTTTTTTTTCATTAGCTTTATTGAATTTGAGCTTGAATAATGATTCTGTAGATATGTAAGTATTTTAAGAACAACAGCAAATTTGCCGCCATCATCTCAATTTCAGTGAAACCAGATCTTAGACAAGTGCATCCAATGTTGTCAAGTGCTATAACCTTTTAACAATCTCTTTTCCAGGCTAGCAAGTTCAAGTCATTTTATTTCTGACGAAAAAATCAGTCGCATTTTGACTGTCGTAGCGTCAAAAGTATCCAAACGCTGCCGAAAATATGTCATTTTACACAGGTTAATGGAAGAATGGATTTAATTTTCATAATCAAAAACAATTTGTATGCATTTTTGTCAATTACGAAAACAACACGACGATCCAAATTTCTCCCCCATTCCCCTTCCATTCTTGGGTGTAATATACAACAGGAAATTATCGTTCCTCCCACATAAATAAATAAATATCTTAAAGCTAAATGCCTTAAAACACTGAACATTCTAAAGGTAGTGTCCCACACTGGTTGGGGAGCTGATAGGAAAGTTTTGCTAAGACTTTAAAGAGCTCTTATTAGATCAAAATTAGACTAAAGTTCCATTGTGTATGGATCTGCTAGACCTTCATATCTCAAATTATTAGACACTGTTTATCACCAAGGTCTCACCAAGACCATACTTACATATCGTTATATAGCAGCCGAAAAAATGGCTTTACAGTACACAATTCAGCCGAAATTAAATCATTCAAACCCTGCCTTTTCACTTGTGTTCGATCAAAAATATATGATATTTCAACACCAATCAAAGACCATTTCACCATTTGGTATTCAGATTTCTGCTCTTTTACAAAACGCAAATACTGATATTGACCAAATTAAGTCACTGGAACGACAGAAATTCCACCGTGGCTCTTGTTGACTTTTCACTTCATGAAATAGTGACAGTTACACATTCCTTTCATCCTTCTCGAAATTGCATTCAAAATAAAAGCACTTTCTACATTTATATACTAATGGTTCAAAGGACAAGGATAAGGTTGCCGCAAGATGAAGCCTTTGGATGCCGGCTACCCAACACCGCCTCAATATCCTCAGCGGAAGCGCGAACTATCTATCTCACCCTTGAACAAACAAAGTAATGAGACCTGTTATCTATTCCGACTCACTTTCTGTACTACAAAGTTTTAGCAATAGAAATATCGACAATATTTCTATTCGTAACACATTAATATTATTTCATGAACTTACCGCAAATGTTTATATTGTTCTTTGCTAGGTTCTTGGAACACAGGAATACCAGGCAAAGGAAAACCTTATCGTGCCACAAAGGCAGCAGTATCTGTACCATCTGTTGTTTTTAATCTTCATTTTATTGATATTAAACCGTTTGTCGAACGATTTTTAACAGCTCGGTGCAATAGCAAGAGGAATGGAATAAATATAAAAAGTAACAGGACAACACAGTGGAAATATTGTCAGGATGAGAGCGCGGAACTGACCTGGGACTGAGGCAAGTTAACACGGAGGAAATATTGTAAGGATGAGAGCGTGGAACTGACCTTGGACTGATGCAAGGTAACACGGTGGAAATATTATCAAAATGAGAATGGGGAACGGACCTGTACAGACATGTGACTGAGGCAAGGTAACACAGTGGAACTCTTGTCAGGATTAGAATGGAGCACTGACCTGTACAGACACGTGAATGAGGCAAGGTAACACGATGGAAATATTGTCAGGATGAGAATGGGGAACTGACCTGTACAGACATGTGATTGAGGCAAGGTAACACGGTGGAACTTCTCTCAGGATGAGAGCGCGGAACTGACCTGTACAGACACATGACTGAAGCAAGGCAACACAGTGGAAATATTGTCAGGATGAGAGTGGTGACCTGACCCGTATAGACACGTGACTGAGGCAAGGTAGCACGTTTAAAATAATCTCCGGATGAGAATGGGGAACTGACCTGTACTGACCTGTGATTGAGGCAAGGTAACACTGTGGAAATATTATCAGAATAAGAGCGTGGATCTGATCTGTACAGATATGTGACTAAGGCAAGGAAACACGATGGAAATATTGTCAGGTTGAGAATGGGGAATTGAACTGGGACTGAGGCAAGGCAACACAGTGGAAATATTGTCAGGATGAGAATCGGGAACTGACATGTACAGACACTAGACTGAGGCAAGGTAACACGGTAGAACTATTATCAGGGTTAGACCGGGGAACTGTCTTGTAACTAAGGCAAGGAAACACAGTGGAAATATTGTCAGGAAGAGAATGGGGAACTGACCTGTACACACACGTGACTGAGGCAAGGTAACAAGGTTTAAATATTATCAGGATGAGAATGGGGAACTGACATGTACAGACATCTGACTGCGGCAAGTCAACATGGTCGAAATATTGACAGGATGAGAATGGGGAACTGACCTGTACACACACGTGACTGAGGCAAGGTAACACAGTGGAACTCTTGTTAGGATGAGAGTGGTGACCTTACCTGTATAGACACGTGACTGAGGCAAGGTAACACGGTGGAAATATTGTCAGGATGAGAATAGAGCACTGACCTGTATAGACAGGTGACTGAGGCAGTTAACACGTTAGAACTATTACCAGGATGAGAGCGAGGAACTGTCTTGTAACTAAGGCCACGAAACACGATTGAAATATTGTCAGGATGAGAATGGTGACCTTACTTGTATAGACACGTGACTGAGGCAAGGTAACACGGTGGAAATATTGTCAGGATGAGAGCGCGGAACTGACCTGTACAGATATGTGACCGAGACATGGTAACACGGTGGAAATATTGTCAGGGTGAGAATGGAGCACTGACATATACAGACATCTGACTGAGGCAGGTCAACATGGTGGAAATATTGTCAGGATGTGAATGGGGAACTGACCTGTAAATTAGGCAAGGTAACACGGTAGAACTATTATCAGGATGAGAGCGTGGAACTGACCTGTACAGATATGAGACATGGTAACACGGTGGAGATATTGTCAGGATGAGAATGGGGAACTGACCTGTAAATTAGGCAAGGTAACACGGTAGAACTATTATCAGGATGAGAGCGAGGAAATGACCTGTACAGACATGTGACTGAGGCAAGGTAACAAGGTTTAAATATTATC